GTCTATTTGGTCGAGTAGTATCCAATAATGAAAATTGAGTTTTAAATTTTCTAATGGTACAGCGGATAGTGCGCTCAGTAGGCCGATTATGTGGACCATAAGTGGCTCGAAGCGCACGAAATACATTCCTCACAGAATTCTGTTTTTCGTGATAAAGTTTAATAATTTCTAGACGTTGTGGCGGACTGAGTCTTTTCATGATAAATTAGGGAATCTCAATCACGTGATTTTTTAATGGCCGTTCGGTCAAATATTGCGGTGACAAGCCGGTGACGTTCATAAGGAGAGCATTTGTCACATTTGTGTTCTGGCCCTTGTTGCTTTCGAAGTGAATTTTATGTGTTTTTACGTATTTTTCATTGGTTTTGGTCATATTGTTATTTTCATAGTGAATTTTATAGTTTTTAGTATTTCTACGTATTTTTTAGTGTTCTGGCCCTTGTTTTCAAAGTGAATTTTATAGTGTTTATAGTGCTTCTACGTATTTTTTAATTTAATAATAAGTTCTGAGATGGGAGCGTGAATATCTTAAGCTATTATTATTAAGGGAAAATCGAGCCTCTGTTAGATCCTTTCTTTTAATTGCAGCAATCCATAAAGCCCTGCGTTGATTTGATAATTTATTTTTGTATATCAAAAGCCGATGATTTAAAATAGCAGGAACTGAATAAAATTTCACATTATCCCTGTTACCTCGACTTCCACACCCAATTACGATGCAAATCGCTGGCATTTCAATCAACACAATACCTAAACACACAAAAAAACACAAATTCCGATCATTCAAATCTTGACGTTTGTCCAGAATGTGACAGAATCAATGACATACAGAATAAACAACACAGTGCTTGACCCAATGCTTGACTCAAACTTCCATATTGAATTTCGTTTTTGACAGGTCAGTAGATTGCCTAATTGTCAAACAATACTGAATACAAATACCGTGACAGTTTTGAAGTTTGGCAGTTCGATCTGTCAAAAAATCGCTTTCGGTAACAATACCTCTAAATGAATCACCCATTATTTTTCTCTTGGCTTACTGGGAAGTAAGGCTAAAGTGGCCAAATTTGCTGCTTCTATAACATCTGGACGCGTTGCTGATATACGATATTCTTCATTATCACTCATATCACTACCCATTTTACAATTTTCAAGAAAAAATGAGATTCGACGCACAGCAATAGCACTTTTGAAACGATGATAGTTGTGGAATTGACAATTGTCAAACAAAATATTTAAAAATTCAAAGCTCTATTAAATTTTGTTGCCAAAGCAACTATTTTGATTTTGATAGGAACCTGTTCAGGGTGGCCTATTCTCAATTTTCTTGGAATAGAATCTAAAATATTATGTTAATTATCATAAATAATTTTTAAGCCATCGCAGGAAAAATAGTATGTGTATTTCGGTGTCAAAACAAATTCTCGGCCTTCGGTGTTTACCGGGCGAGGCGCAGCCGAGAATGTGTCACTTTTCCACCTTACACAATATACAAATTTTAATACAAAACCTGAAGTTTTTCGGAACATTTTTTTATAGCCTCTTTTCCGATAATTTCTTAACATTTTCTGTACGTTTATTGAGAAAGTATTGCAAATGATAGCGAAAGATAAATCAAAATTAGAATTAAAGAATATTTTTGCGAGATCATACAAATTCCAGTTAAATAATGGACCTTGATGGATGATAGTGATGAGCGAGACTGGTCTTGGTCTTGCAAAAAACGCAAGACCATGACCACACCCAAAAAAATATTTCGTTGTGATAAAAATATATATGTTTAATTTAACAAAGCGGATTGATTAGTATAGACACAGCCATACATTTTGATAATTTAACATATCAGATATTGTTGCTTTTGTTTTGTGATTTTAGCACTAATTTACCATCATCATTACTTTTAAAATATTGTTACAATAATTAATTGGTAATGACATACCAACAATGTGATGTGTTTCATGTGACATTTTTATTTGATAGTGATAAATAAATGATATTGTAGTTTGAACTAAACAGTATTGTTAGTTTGCCAAACAATTTGATTAAGGTTACAATAAGTGATTGCTATCTTTAAACAACTTGGATCGTTACTCTTACTATATACTCAAAATGTATGAATATACTTTATTGCTATTGTAACAACTTTCATTATTTAAACTGTCTATATAGCGTTTTTGAGGTAAATATAATCTATAGTAACAACATTGACGTATGTACTATATGGACTTGTTACCGATACTCTTTTTTTTAGTATAGTTAAATATGCATCATATTGTCAAAAAGCCTGAATATTTTCACCATGCACAAAAAAATAACATTAAAAATAATTAAGAGATATTGTCTAGCTTGAAACCTCAACCCTGCATGATTTTCTGTTGAAAAAAACTTTTCTGGATGACCTGAGAATAGAACCAAACTTTTAATCCCTAAGACAGTACCCAGAGAGGTCAACAGAGATTTAGAATAATATAAAAACAATGCTAATTTTCAGCGACTTTTCGTATAATAATTGGGTATATTTTCGATAGATGATAATTGGAGTAAATAAAAAATGTTTAAATAGAAATAACATCATATTTTATTAAACAAAAATAGAAAACAATATTCTCATGTCTAAAAATGGCACGTATAAAAAATAAATCAAATAGGTATTTCTAATATATATACTTAACTAAAGAGATGTTTTTTCAAAACAAAATCATTTATATACAATGGAAAATATGATGAAATTCCAAAATAATGGCATTTAATGGAAAGGTCAAAAAATTATGAGTGTAGGATTTTTGTGATTTTATTTGAATAATATAGGTAACTATACATATTTCATTGTCTCTAATTTCTTTCTTTTCGGACTAAGATTGAATAAACAAGGAGCTGCTTATTGAAATTATTCAATATTACATAAATCCTACATAATAATTTCGTATTTTAATAAACGTTATTAAAAAATAAAAAACAAAATTATCATTTCTAAATATAGACATGGCGCGCATGTCTTAATCTAACATAAAAAATCATTCAAATATTTATCATTACAACTAAAGTGATATTTTCAAAACAAAACTAATTATTCAACAAAACAATAATCATTTACCGCAATGAATATCAATGTGGTATTTTTATTTCTTACCTTTCGGATTGAGATTGAATAAACAAGGAACTGAACATTGAAATTCTTTAATATTACAGAAATCCTACATAATAATTTCATATTTCAATAAACAATAATAATAAATAAAAAACAAAATTCTCATTTCTAAATATAGGTATGGTATCCGCATGTCATAATCTAACATAAAAAATGTCTCAAATATTTCTTATATGAGCCATTTTTCATCTAAATTCGATTTCTGGAGTGATATTTTCATAGCAAAATAAATTTTTCATAAAAACAATAATATTCTTTAGCGCATTAAATGAAATTGCAGAAAAATATCCAAAGTCAAATTATGAATGTGGGATTCTTATAATTTTAAATAATATATTTCATTGTTACTAATTTCTTTCCTTTTGGATTGAGATTGAGTAAACAAGGAACTGATGAATATTGAAACTCCTTAATATCACATAATATAGTATCCTGTTGCGAAGTATTAATTTCGAAAGCATGATAGTGTTCAATAAAACTTTCTGTAATGCATTTATTAATTTCAGTATATATTATGTGATTATTTGAAATAAATATACATTTAATTATTCCAAATACAGGAAGAAGTTCCTTATCAATATCTATGACAAAAATCATATTTACTTTGTAAATATAGTCATTTACTTCAATCCATTCAACTTGTTGAACGATATTACTTTCTGAATTGGAATTAATTTTTTCACATATTGATGCATTTTCAATAAAATGTATACTACTATGTTTCAATGTGGTTGAAAATCCAGATAAAGAGATTAACCTAAAAGTTAATTTAAGTTGGCTCTTTATAGCGAGTGTATACGGAATATTTTTTCTGTTATTACTAATAATCGCTGTAGTTTTTAATACCTTCAAAACGCATACACCATGTATCTATAAGAGGACCAACCAATGACATGATTCTTGGATAATGCACCATGTGATGGTGTTTAGGCTTTAACGAATCTTTTAGTACTTTAGTGTAAATATAGTGATGTTCTGAAATGAGAGTTCTCAATTTGTCTACGTCATCTGACCTAACCATTCTATTAAATAAAATGTCAAAAATTTTTCGTAGAGTGATATATAGGTCCCATACTTCATTGCCTTCGGGTATTAAGTGACCAATCATTACTCCAAATAGTAAAATGAATGTGTGCATTTCTGCAGCAGACATCTTGAGATTACAGCTCCTTAATTTTGCCTCATTTATTAAGGGTGGTTTATTACTTATAAATTGAGAACCATAATCAAATGAACTTATAATTGAATTTAAACTATTTACGGAAAACAGGTTAAGTTCAAATATAAGTTTATTTAATAAGAGTGTTAAATCATATATACAAACGCCTTCTAAAATATCATGCATGATATCAACAGAAAAATTTTCTGTGACATGAAAATTCTCTATTTGATTGAAAATAGTGTCTTCCTTGATACCCGTTAATGATGCATTATTTGTAGTTAGATCATTTTGATAATTATTTTGATTTCTGAGCGACCTATTATTTTCCAATATTTGGGTATTAGTTAGAAATTTTGGTGTTCTACAAAATCGACAAAAGTATGTTGAAGAAAAGGATTCTGTGAAGCCAATCATGGAATTAAACCCCAAGTTGTCTCCTACAATTAAACCAATATCAAAATATAGTTTGTCGTTATTATTGAATGTTATGCCAAATTCACGTAAAAATTTTATTTCCTTCACTATTGGAATAAAAATATCATTGCCATACTTTTTTCGATCCTTTGATTTAAATAGCATAAATAAAAATATATTTTCTAGTTGGGTTTTATAGTTTACTGGGAGAAAAGGTAAGCTTAACATAAACAGCGCCCAGTTTTTGGTCACCAGAATGGGACCCTAAAGCGTTACCTACTCCGAAATCGTCAAAGTAAAAAAACAGTGGAAGTATAGTTTTATTACTAACATTTTGAATCTTCTGTTTCCATAAAGCACCTTGCAAAAAAATTTCCAAATTATCTTTTTCAGATGAAAGTTCATTTACATGAGTCATTGTTTTTTCATAAACATTTGGTAACTCGAAAAACTTTTTTAAAGTATCCCTTAAAGAAATGACTACATATTTATCAACTACAGTAGATATACTGGGATTATTATTACAAGAAGTAACCTTCAAAGACTTACTCAAAATAACTTCAGTAGGTGTTATAAAATATCCTATATTTTGAAAATATTGAAAACGTTTATAATCAGTTTCTATATTTTCGAATGGATTCCTCAAAATTTTCAAAACTGCTTCTATAGGCGTAAGCTCTTTTTGAGGGACTATTTTTAATACATACTCTTGCAATTTCAAAAATAACTTTGAGCAAAATATTTTATTTAATGCAGTTATAATAATCTGAATTTCATTCCGAGGTATTGCAGTATGCCAATAAAGTGTAGATATGAAATGCAAAACATGCTCATGAAAATTAGAAATGTTTTCGTTAATGTTCTTCAATATTTCAATATTCGGGCATTGTTTCGAATTATCTGTATCATCGTTTTTCTCAAAAATATCACTAACCTGAGCAAAAAATGGTCCAGAATAAAGATTATGCGACACCTTTAAGTGAACAAAAAGCGCTCGTGGGGTCTTTATGGCTTTTTCACATAAAAAGCAAATCATTATTTATGTTAGATTACAAACATTCAATAACAAAACTGAAAAAAATAGTCTTGCAACTGAAAAAAATTATTAGCTGTTCTACAGTATGAATCGCAGTTATTAGTGTTAACCCCTTAGTCACCCTCAAAGTAATTTGCAAGTCAAATGAGGTTTCCTAAACGGTGTATCTTGGTACTACCTATAGCTTCCAGTACCATTTGAGCCCGATACTAGGGTGGAAATGTTCATATTTTCATAAAAACCGCTTTTTTCATGGATCGCAATAATTAGTTTTACCCCTTTAAACCACCCCGAAAGTAATTTGCGAGTCAACTGAGATTCCCTGAACGGTGTATATTGGAACGGTCTATAACTTGCAGTACCATTCGAACCCGAGACTAGGGTGCAAATAGTTTACACAAAACCCTTCTTTTTTTTTCCTGGAAAAGGACAAACTGAATTTTTCCCAATTATTAGTTTTACCCCCTTAAACCACACTCATAGTTATTTGCAAGCTTTTCTAGGTACCCTAAACGGTATATCTTGGTATTGCCTATAACTTCCAGCACCAGTTGTGCCCGAGACTAGGATGAAAATATTCATATTTTCACAAAAACTTTTTTTTCTTGCAATCGCAATTATTAGTTTCACCCCCTCAAACCAACCTCCAAGTCATTTGTAAGTCTTTTTAGGTAAGTACTCTAGACGGTGTATCTTGGTACTGCCTATAACTTCCAATACCATTTCCGCCTGAGACTAGAGTGGAAATTTTCATATCATATTATTTTATTTTAGTTAATTTAATTAGTGTAATCCGATTTTTGTATAAAAAGTGTGAATTAAACAGAAGGATTATATTTTTTGAGTACCCCTGTAGATAGAAATTGTTTCCGGACATCTACCATGGCCAATAAAAATAGGATTCAATTAATTTTAACACTTTTCGTATTAAAGTTTACCTTTTGTGAAATAATTTCTATTTACTCGAATTTTGGGTAACCCCATACCCGCCACTGTATTTCGAAAACCAGTCATAGGAGCATCTTGGGCCCATGAGAACTTTCGATCAGAAGATTGAGATCTACAACATACCAAAATTTCATCAAAATCGTGGATTCTTTAAAATTCCATTTAAAGTGTGCATCGTCCTTTATGAACGTAACAACTCCCCTCTTTCCGATGATGTGTTCAGCATGCAATGAGAAGACAAAAAAAAATCGTATTGTGGTTGAAGCACTAGTCATCTGGTGGTATATCTGTGGTTACAGGTTTAAGATCTCGAACATGCCAAACTCCCACCTTCTTTCTATTTGGATCTTCAAGCTCGTACGCTAGAGGTGAAACCTTCCTACACACATTGAAAGGACCAGCATATTTAGGTGCCAATTTCGAAGTGAATGCATTGGCAGCATTTGATAGAACATGATTTTTATGGATACAAGGTCCCCCCAAGTATATTGAGTAGGCCGCCGACGCAAATCATAACGAGCCTTGGTCCTATTGTGCGCCTGTTTGATTCTACGACCGATGTCCACAAACACCTCCTCCAAAAGATCACCACGGCTGGAATCAGCAAAATTCAATGGATCCGTCTTAACCATTTCTATGTACTTCCCCAGACAAAATATGCTCCCTTCCAAATACGACAAAGAATGGCGTAACGTTAGTCACCTCGCTAACACTAGTGTTAATCGCGCAAGCAACCTTCCGCAAAAGTTTGTCCCATTTACGCTGATGTTCGGAAACGTAAGAGGACAACATGGTTTTAATGGTTCGGTGAGCCCGCTCTACAGGATTAGCCTGTGGGTGATAAACGGCATTGAACAAGATTTTGGTTTTATACTCCTCACACAATCTAATGAATTCACGGCTCTTGAATTGCACACCGTTATCGCATATAAGAAATTCAGGAACACCATACTCCAGGAAGACATACTCCTCATCAATCAAGGACGAGACCATAGAGGCGGTTGCGGAACGCACAGGGAAAAGAATTATATATTTCGAAAGATAATCCGACACCGACAAGATGAAACGGTAACCCCGCGATGATCTGGGCAATGGCCCCACTATGTCCACACAAATCATCTGAAAAGGTCTCACGACGTCGGGTCGTTTACCCATTGGCCCAGCAGGGGTTTGATGCGAGGTCTTGTGTTTGGCACATACTGAGCAACGCTTAACACATGCTGTTACATCCGCGCGCATGCGCGGCCAATAATATTTCGACTTAATACGCTCGAAGGTTTTAAATATACCAGCGTGACAACCCTTGGTAGAATCGTGAAACTCTGCCACAATATTCCGCCGAAGTTCCTTAGGAACTACCTCACGCCATGCATCAGACTTACTGTGGAGTCCCGGATATTTGCAGGGAACATGTTTATAAACTTTCTCGGATTCAACTCTCCAGTCAGGAAATTTTAAAGGATGTTCAAGAATCTGCTGTGTCTGGCGAACAAACCAACGGTCTTTAACATCGACAGACACCGGAGTCACAGAATTCACATTTGGTACTGAACGAGAAAGAAGGTCAGGTAGATAATGTTCCTTTCCCTTTCGATGTTTTATCTCGAAGTCAAGCTCTGAAGACGAAGAGCCGAACGAGCCAATCCTCTCCATGTTGCAGAAGAAGAGCAGCACCTATGCCAAACAAACTAGCATCGGTCTCGACTATAGAAGGCTTTGAAAAATTCGGACAACTCAAAATGGGTGCGGAAGAGAGACACTCTTTAAGATATTTGAAAGCATCTTCGCACTCAGAAGACCAACTCCAAGAGCGACCCTTCTTCAATAAGTCCGTCATGGGAGCTGCTTTGGTGGATAAATTGGGGATGAAGCGCCGATAAAAGCTGGCGGTGTCTATAACTCTTCGAACCTCGGTAACATTCCTCGGAGTAGGAATGTTTACACTGCATACACCATAGCTATATTTTCATCTTCAAATTCCTCTGGCGTAACAAAATCGAATTCATATGTGCCCCTGGCGAGGTTAGGTACCAAACCCATTTTCTTGAAAAAGTCAAACCCCAAGATTAAATTATGTGGTAAGTCAAGTGCCACTAAGACATCCAATGAAATTTCACGATCGTTCAACCGTAAGGGAAGTTTGGCAATTCCCAAGACAGGACACGAATTATTGTTAGCAACCACGCAATGAGAAATTCGAGAAGGCTTCACCTGAAAACCCAATTCTAGCAACTGTTGCCAACCGTGGCCACCAAGAATGGTATTGTTTGCGCCATTATCCAGGAGGCTAGAGATTTTCTGTCCACACACGTCGATTTCCAAAAACGGACGCTTATCACGTTCACAGGTTGAAAATAAATATGAAACCTTCGAGTTGATCACCGATTTCTGAACTGCCGCCACGTGATCAATTAGCAACGGCCTGACGCGTTTCCCGAACAATTACAACGGTTTCGGGTAACACCCATTTGACCACATCCACTACACTTTATGACCTGGTCGCAAGTTCTTAAAGTATGGCCTGGTTTATGACAATTGAAACAGATAACAAATGCACCTCGATTCTGCAACCGCTCAGCCTTTGGATCTTGACGAAGATGCCCATGCTGTGAATTTATGACATTGACATTGGCATCAGTACTGACCAATGGGTTGTCCTCATCAGTATGAAGGGTCTGGGCCTCCATGGATGCCGAACCAGAACCTGTTAAGTCAATAAGATCCGCTCGACCTTCGTTAGAAATACAATTAACACGGGGTGTGCTAGACTGAGGACGCCGAACAGCAAGACTAGGCTCTACGAAAGCTTTAGGATTGGTAGGTGGTGCAACATATTGACGCGCTCGCCAATGAGCCTCCTCGATCATACGCCCAAGTCTCAACAACTCATCAATTGTAACAACATCATACAACGCCATCGCGGTCTGCAAGTAGGGCAACATATTCTTCTTAATAATGTTAACCCGCTCCTGCTCAGGTGGTAAGCTGGACAGTTTCAGGAATATACTTTCAATAAGGGATACATAAGAAACCAACTTCTCATCCTGGTGTTGCATGCGACGACGAATATCGTCCCATAATGTGAGCTCATATCCATGAGGCAAAAAATCATTTCTCAAGGATCGTGTCAGATGATCCCAATTTTGGAAAAGATGTTTACGTGGTCTGTACCACAAAAGAGCTTTGCCCTTAAAGAACTCAACTGCGGCCTGAAATAACTGGATCTTTGTTACTCCGCGCGACTCCCGCAAGTCCTCAACCCTTTCCAGGAACGAAGTGACACTACCAGAGCCATCAAAAAAAACATTCCATTTACTGATGGGTAGAAAATTCTTATTCTCCAAACGATTTAGATGTTGGGCTGCAGGGGTGTAACAGTGGCAATGACAAGCTGATATTCCAGAATGTGGAAAACCAAGGCTACCCTGAGACATATTACGGGGATCGGGGGAGAGACACGATTTTGATTGCTCCGAGACCCACTGTGATGAGAATCGAAGAGATTAGGTGACGAGTCACGATTTTGACCGATATGTTGACTATCCTGCGTGCTATGAAGATAAGCATTGGGATTAAGTGGCCAGGCACCATTGCTGTTGCTCAAGGTATTTACGGGACCTTGAATGAAGGATACCCGCCTATTCAGTACTGATTGATTTGTCGCACTCACCGTATTTTGATTTATCTCATGATCAATTATTCTGTGAACAGGTGGATCAGGGTTTAAGACACCATTAACCCCCATATCTGAAGGATGCCTCTCCGTTAGCAACTCTTGAGCTGACCTGGAGTGTGACTGAACCGCTTCAGGTTGATTTGGAATATTTGAAGACTCAGGGATATTGATAGAGTGAGATATAATCCTCCTATCCGAAACATTTGAGTAACGATCATTGGGCAGATAACGACGACGAATCTTATTTATCATGTCCATTTGCGGAGGATCTCCCGGTTGACTTATAAACACACGGTCTAAATAAATGAATAAAATGAAATAAATTATCAACTGTTTTATCCTGTGCCTCTGTATCTGGCAAACCCTCTTCAACCTACCCTCAATGTGCATAAGACGAGTTTGAATTTGTGCATAGTCGTTGAGTTTCTTGTTATGGTTGAAGTTTGCAGTCGAATAGCTCATTTACTTTATCAGAACACGTAGCTAACTCCAATCGTGGATCAAACTCTATTCTAGAATTAACAGGGTTATTTTCCCTTATGGCAGCACGAAGCAGCTGACGATTCTCTTGTACATTAACTCTCAGAGCACCGTTTCTAACGGATAACTCATAGGCTCTCGTCACCATGCAATCTGTTGATATCCATGATGAAATATAATACCTATATAAATATTTCTTTTTTTCACAACAAAAAAAAAATCAAATAAAAAAAATATATGTACATATATGAAAACTTGAATTTGATTCCAATCGATCAAAATATAGAGACACTATATTACCTCCCCCCCTTCAAAAGGAAGCGAGCCAAGCGAAAGGAGAAAAACCCCAGCAATAAAAAAAATTATAATATAACGACGGGACGCTTTCAGAGAAAGATTTCCTAACCAGTCTGGCACTTGGTATTCACATAAGCATAAGGGGGATGTTGGGGGGTGTGGAGGGCTTTCCATCGAAAGTCACTCGACGTTTGGGTGCCGGGATCGAGTGGGCTACTGGGATCATTCCTGGGAGACTTGGGCCTTGGTCTCTTCCGGGTGGAGGTGATAACTTGGAGGATCTTGACACCAGAATCTCTGTTCTTGGTCTTACCTGGGCCTTGGTAGTGAGAGTACCAGGGACAAGGTTGGTGGCGCTGGTTTTAGGCGCGCCCTCATCTCCTAAGATGGAGTTTGACGGGGTCCAAAAGACGGAATCGTCAGGAGATGAAGGTGGAGAAGGTGGGTCGTCCTGAGAGCAATGATAGCCAGGCGAAGATGAGATTGGTAAGACGGGGGGAGTCGGTTCAGGGATGGCGGCAGCGAGAGTAGTAGACGGTTCAGAGGTAGACGTGGTAGTAGGCTTAGGTGTGGGAGTTTTAGGGCTAGATGGAGTAGCCTTTTTCGGGACGCTTCCGAAGACTGTGCCTAATGAATGACGCCGGCGAGCCAAGTGCTTTTCTCTCGCCATGGCGAGGTATTCCTTATAAATGGGCTTGGCACGTCTGTGACGTAGCTGCTCCCTCGTGAGGCCGGTAGCCTTCATCATCGGCTCGCTAAAGGGCTTTCCCTTAGGTAGGCTGGCCTCAATATCGGCCATGATTGTGAAGATCTCGGCATCAGGATGTGCGAGCTGTTTTTCGTCGGCAGACATGTACTCTCGCGAGATTCCTGCTCATGGAGACGAACTGCTGCGTATGAAGCAAAGGATTTATCGCAGAAGATGCAGTTCGTTCTGTCTCCTTTCGCGGTTTGCGGACATGGTGTTTGCTCAAACCACTCCGGGTCTGGTAGCCCCTTCCGCACATGTTGCAGCGATGTGGGAAGGCTGGGGTTTTGGGGGAGGCAGGCAAACCTGAAATACTAGGCGCCATGTTGTAGGAGGCACTGACCCCCCAGAGTTCACCGACATGTCGGGAGGGGTTTGGGGGTTTGATCGAGGGCAAAAACGGGAAGAGAAAGGAGTTTTGCCTCGATCAGAACACAGGGCAGAAAGGTTCGCTTGCCATTGAGGCAGAGAAGGTGGAAAAAAAAATAGAGGGAGTACGACAGAACCGCGTGAACTGTAGTCCGGGTGTTCAGACAGCGACTCTGAGAGCGAACTGAAAATGATGGAGTTCTGGCAAAGGTACTTACCCGCAGATAGAACAGACTGCCCTGGCCTGAAGCGCGGTGGACGTTGCTCGTCTTAGCCGTTAACATTCACACACTGCGCGTTGGGCGAAATAGAGGTTCCAGACGCCCCACACTATCTTGATGCTCCAGACGATCTCGACGGTCTAGAAGATCTCGAAGGTTTCGAAGTTCTTGATAATCTGGGAGGTCTAGAAGTTCTAGCCTGCTCGGTGTAGTTCTGCGTGGCAGATATCAGGGCGAGCGAGCCTTCCCAGCTCGATTAGATTGAGCTAAGGCAATTCGTGCAAGTCAGTGCAAGTCCTCGGGTGTTCGGAGTAGGGCGGGATTGTGTAGAAGGTGCACTCTACTCAAGACTTAAGTGTTCCCGGTGTCAGTTTTCAAGATTTGCTGACTCGCGAATTTGTTCGAAAACTCTTCACCTTCATCGGGGGTGGGCTATCCCTTGATCTAGACTGGCTACATGGGTGGTATCTGTGGGGCACCCTGGACTGGAACGAATAGAGATATTTTCTCTATCTCTATTGACGTATCCTCTCTATTGATTTCGACAATAAAGGAGAAGACAGCAAGTGCCATAGCGATAGGGATAACGATCCTTATCCGTTACAGAGTTCCAGCCCTGAGTCCTGCCGACTTTCCGAAGTAGCGAAACCTGGAATTTTCCTCAGGTCCGTAGAATAGCCGGGAGAGCCTTTTTCCTAAAATGGAGTATGTTTAGGCGAGCAGGATGGTGTAACTCTGCTCCAACACCAAAGTAGAATTCTAGAAACCTCCTGCCGGTGTTTTCGAACGATTGTGCGGTCCCCTATGTTTCTGACACTTGTTTGAATATTTGAATTATCAGCTGTACGATATAAACAGGATTTTGGAGGATTTAGGGCCTGTATTGACTTACTCTGGCTCTTTCGGGACTTCCGCACACTCACACGCCTTGGGCAACGGCCACTCTAGACGCGCATATACTCCCTAGAATTAATTGGAAATGCTTTTCCGCCGGAATTTTTAAATGGAATTTCCGTTGGCAGAAAGCGATTGTGTTTCGTTCGATAACCTTAAAAGAGTGGAGCTGGACGGAGTTGGGGCTATTCCAGAAAGGTCTGCATTTGGATCGTGTTTTTACAAACGAACGTCCGCAGTACCCGAACTCATCATTATAGACGCCAGGTACAGTGTGACGCGCAGCACCATTGTAGGGCCTGTTGTTCTGACCCTTGAGAATATGGTTGTAGACATTAAAGGTCTACTCCCAGTACTTCGGTCACCCACGTGTCAACTGTGACAATAAACGAGAAGGAATGTGAAAAGACTGGACAGGTAATGTGGACAAACTTATGGAACGGACAACACTTTAAAATTACCCCCAGGTGGCACTTATGAATTGCGAGTGGACTTGGATGCTCCCCATGACTGTTCTGCATACTAAGTCACGGACGTCAGCCCTGGAAAGACCCAGCTTTCGCACCACAGCATCATTACACGAAGGTCACGTACCACGTGCTCCAATGATGATTGCTGCAACAGACGGGGTCCTCCCAGGGTAGACTTCCGTGACGTTCTGCATCAAAAGCGGGTCCGAATAAAGCGCCACCTTGTTTGCGTGCGACACGGCGAGAGGCCCCGGACCTTCCCAACAGATCGCAACGTCCAACAAAATGACCTGGGCGTCGTTTGCGATCGCTAGGTCGGGAATTTTCAGGATGCCATCATCCATCCGATGCCTCCGCTCCCTCTCCACAGTCCAACCCTTTTTCCTAGTCATCGCGGCAATGGTTCCCAGGATGTGGTCGTGTCGTCGAATCCTCCGGAAGTGAGATGCAAGACAGCATTGCAGGACATGTGACAGAGATTCGACCCTGTCACACCTTGCCCTACATCTCCTCTCCAGAGGTGGGTTCGACGGCACTCCCCTCGTGGGCAGAAGATTGCCGCGAAGCTGGACCGCCTTCATATAGTCGCGACCCTTCCAGAATGGTGGAGGCCTCGATACCCACGACACTGCCTCGGCACGGCCCGCACCCATGGGCGCCCGGTGGGGGAGGCAGGGGGGGGCATCTGCCCCCCCCCTGGCTTTTAATATAAATACTTGAAAATAAAAGAGAAAAAAATAAATAAAAATAATTAGGTATTTTACCTATAGTATTTCTAATGCCCATTTAGAATAACCCCATCCTTATTTATCAATCACGAATCAGATGAAACAAAAAATTACCAACAAAAACGAATGTCGATTACTAATACGTCAAATTCATGTACAAATAGGAAATTCCTAACCTAATTTTATTTGTATGTTCAAGAAGTGACATACGTTTTGTTACTAGAACGACTGGTACTTCTAAATAGGTATTAAAAATACTATATTTCCATTTTTATTTTTTTTGATAACAACTATTTGTTTTTTTGTTAAATTTGGGGTATATGATTCCAAAAATCCAACTGACAACGTAAACGTCGTCATTGGTTCAGGTATGACGTACACCCGTCAGCGTCAGAAAACGGGTGTTTGTTTTAGTTTTGATTACAATTTTTTTAAAAATTTTTTCCCACAAAGAAATAGTACATTAAAATACAAGTTTCATAAAACGTCATTTTATCGCACGAGCCGGAGGCGAGTTTTCTAAAGGGCGAGTGCGATAAAATGTCTTATGAAACGAATATTTTATACTATTTTTTCTATTTTGGTATTGTTTAATTAAAAAAAAAAACTTTTCTTGGAAATTTCATTCTCATATTTCCTGATTTCATATGTTTAGGTTGGCAACACTACATGCCAAATATAGAAATCTTCTACTATTTTTTATCGCGAATGACAGTTCGATGGCCATCAGTCAGCCAGTGTTACCAACCTCCGATAAGTAAAAAAGGAGTGTCACAAAGAGCTTCTTTTCGAAACTACTTTTAGTGTCGAAAAGACTTCGATATGACACCAAAATAGAAAAAGTAATTTGTGCACCTATCAAAAGATACAGAGAATTAACTTTTTTTCCCGTCCGAAATAAAAGTATTTCCAAATTGTTTTATTTTTTAATGTTTATTATATTTGTTACAATTAGCAAAATTTGGGTGTGGCCCAAAAAAAAAATTTCCGCCTGCGATGCGCTTTACACGATTCCCCCAAGAGCAGTTTATTTGCCCCCCCCCCCTGCGACAAATTCTGCGGGCGCCGTTGCCCGCACCCTGAAGTAGCCCGTTGCCCGAGTACCCGGAGTCCAGCGCCTCGGCCCAACCTCTCCGTACGCTCAGACTGGAGGTGACGCCATTGCACCATCTCTCCAGTCTTTCACTCAGAGAGGCCGCATAGCCAAGCCGCAGGACCCCGCGCAGAGTCGGGTCATTGGATTCCTGCAGAGTGCGAATCCTGCCGAGGAGTACCATGGGTATGTGCCGGCGCATTGCCAGGACGCCCAAACCACCGTCTCTAATGGAGGCATGGATCAGGGCATCCTGACACGACCGGTTGAGGTGGAGGGTCTTTCTTACGAAAATGCGAGTAAGTTTGTCGGCGGAATTAAGCAACTTAAGGGTTATCCTGGGGTTCTGGAGCCGATGCAGCAGACGAGGAATGACATACCCTCGCAGAGCCTCGAGTTTTTGCAGCGGTGTTAAGGACGTTCGATACCTTGTAGGGACAACTGAAATCCGCTAGGTGTCGGTACATACAAAATGTATTTAATTTCATTATAATGACACCCAGCCTCTGCAATCTCCGCCCTTCCATTGTTTAATTCAGGTACCTACCTCTAGTACCTTTTAAAATATTTTGGTCTTGTTTGGCTATTCTAATTTTACAATAATCAATATTTTTAGGTAGAGTCACTTTTATTTTCTAGAATTTGAAAATTATTATTTTTTCGAATTTGGAAATAACTTAGGACTTAACTACATTTTAATTACATTTTGAGTTGTATGTCACAGTAAATATAGGTACAGGAGATTTGATTTATAGACATAAATAATTAATTATCGTTCACATGAATAGTGTGTTATTAGCTACCTGGTGATTGGGTTATTTAAGAGCTCGGGTTTTTACGTTCAGATAGATTAGCAACAGATAAAAAAAAGAAACAAAAATGAAAACAAAATCTATATTTTTCATAAAATAGAAATGGGTCGACACACATGTTTAGGGATCTTTTGTGGGATCTCTAACTTTCAATCCCCTTGGTACTCGTCCATCAACAATTTCCGGTAATATGGAATTTACATAAAATGTTGTTAGTTTTGGCAACATAGTGGTACTCCATAACTCCCTGTCGATATTTATTCTTTCTATGTGAAAGTCGTCGTCAGTGTATATAACAAAATCACAAAAATCTCGATTGGTTATGTTTAGCTGCCCCTGTACTTGATAAAAATAGTTGTGATTTTGTTTCAACCTAAAAAAAAAAAAATAATTTGAATTATTTGTTAATTGCACTGTGTTTAGTTAGTACTTACTTTATCTCATTATTAATTATTGAATAACAGTGACGAACCTCCGACGCAACCAGTTTACCCTTTATTGATGGCAGATATTTCACTTCGATTATTCCTTTTTCACCAATTAGCCCATCTGGAGAGGCACCTAAAAACGGATGGTTTGGATCTATAAATAATCCACACCTGTCAACTGTTACATTATTTATCTGCTCATATTTAACAATGGCTGTTTTTTCATTAATTCCCCATAAAGTATTGCCTCTGTATGAAGTTCTTTTTTTCTATAGAGCATATTTTTAATGAAATTATGACAGTGTGTGGATTTTCTTCTTTTTATGACAATGCCGAAATTAGAGGCAGTCAGGTAGTCTTGACGGAGCTCCCTTCACAAATTATTGTCATGTTGACCTCTTGTTTTTTTTTTTTCAATTTCGTCAACCAGTAATTTCGTAGAAACTCTATCACCTAACTTTTGCAGAAACAAATTTTTCTGCGAAATCATTTCAGCATCTGATATGTCAGGTTGAGCTGCGTCAGGGCCATAGTGAATATCAGGCCCACTTGTTTTAGTATTCTTTTTCCTAGGTGTTTCTTTATTTTTCCTATTCATGTATTTCTGCTGTTTACGTCCCTAGATTTTATTTGTCGTTTTTCCTACTGTGCCTCTCCAGGCTTCAAGATGCGAAGCTGGACCACTCGCATGGGAAATTGCAGCAGCGTACGCTCTAGTTGTATAGGAAATACTTCCAGAAAAATTAATTCGTTTGCCTCCAGTGCATTTAGCTACTAATGCCATATATCTAAAAAATAGTTTTGGTAACTTGAGGTCACTATTAGGTATTGACTAAATAACCTTTCAGCCTGATTAGTGGTCTGGTTATATACTAATCTATCAGCTTTATTGATCATTGGTTCCAGAATTTCTTTTATTTGTAAAAAAAATTCTGGTCGATTTTCTGGGTCATATCTTCTTCATTCGCGTTCCTTCTTACGCAATACGTGTCTCTAGAATACAAAAAAAACACAATATTAAAAAAAAAGGAATGAATCAAAAATCTTCAAATTACCTACAGCTAGCGTGGTTTCAAAATACATGATAGGGTGCATTAGCTAAGTCACGTCACAACATAGCCTCATTATTAATATTATTTTTAATAATTGTCCTAGCCGCTTTTACCAGTCTTTCGAGAGCTGACACCGAGTTACTTTTATTTGTCAAGAATTTTCGACTAATAAGGGGAAATGAAGTATTCGTGGATAATTTATGCAGCTTATCACTCAAGCAGCGAGTCATATGATTAGCACATTCTATTTTTATGACTTGCCTGCCATACGGCACTCTTTGAATAATGCTAGCGTAAACACTTGAATCGCCGTCCCCTAAAAACAGGTAAAAGTTATGGAAATATCGCATATATTAGTACTGTGACCATGAATTGACAGGGTGAAGTTTTCGGTATTCCTTTATTAGGTAAATAAAAGGGACGCATCCGAGTTGGGTCCCAAACCTTATCCACTTACCTGCCCTTAAAAAGGTGTGGGCCGAATTGGGACCGAAGAAGATATCTTAGATTCTAAGAAAAAAATGGGGAAAAATAGCCTTGTTGCCGCACTTCTAAATTCCTAACAAAATATAGTGGGATACTACTGGGGTATAATGGCCATTCTTTAAGCCGTGAATTGTGAAAAGTTGTACAAAACATTTTGGACAATATTGAAAGGTTCCATCAACATACCAATCTGGAACACCAGTTAGAAATTTTATGTTAGTGTTCGTTGAAAAAATAACAATATGATTAACTTTGTCGTTTAGCAAAAGCAAATGTTCATTTTGGTTTGTTTTTACCCCGTTGCCTTCTATCACTTCTTGAAACTCGTGGACGTTTTTGTTAAGTTTACATAAAATCGATGTTCTGGCGTGATAAGCATTTTTTCTTGATCTGGTAATGTCATGTGTTGTTACTGATTCAAGATCGGATTTATATAATTCTTGACGTTTCAGCTTCATGCGTTTCTCCGTAGGTTTATCCACAGGTGCTCTCTTGACGGATTGAGACAAAACTTGGCGAGTTGAGAGATGATTTGGTTGTTTTTCATGATTATGTTCCAACGTTGATTCGATTATGAGGTTTTCCCCAGTTGTTTTCACAAAGGCTTTGCAAAATGATTTTTTGCATGTACATATTCACCTTTTTACACCAACTTCCAAGTCTTTTTGGAAGCCAAATTTGCCCTCGTTAATCAGTAACAGCGATTTTCCTTTCTCACTTGAAAGTAGCGCACATTCCATTTTTCTAACTTATCTACTCTCACTAACAACAATTTAAACAGCTCAATTAACAACAAACGAATTTAATTAGCGAGTGAACTTAATAACCATGGGGTACCAACCTTATAACAATAGGAAATATACCTGTAATACCACCCTCTCGAACCTCCAATTAATTACTTGGAGTACCTACCATGAAATCTAGGAAACTATCCTAAATCGGCAACACTGTCCTATTAAAATTCAGTTTTATTCAGTTGAAGGACCACTATAGTTCAAGGCACAACAATGTACTTTTGGCTCCAAATTTTTTGCCTTGTAGTAAGCGCATGAGGAACAAGTTTTATTACGTACTCCTAGGAACAGAGGTTTTTTCGTTTCCGAACCAATAATAATTCCCTACAATTAATTAATTGTTTATCGAAAGGATTAACAAAGAAAAATAATTTCACTTACCACTCCAGATGGGGCATTATAGCCATGTCCGTAGCTTCGTTTACTCCACCCTCCATCCACGATAACAGTTATGAATGGTGTTCCGTCAGACATAACATTGCCTTTGGCAACAGCGATGGATTTTTCTTCCTCTCCGGCCTTTCTCATTTGAAGAGACATGTATGTTTCCCATGACTACAGTTTTTCAACATTGTTAAATTATAAGTAATAGAAAATAAATAAAAGTATAACCTTACCTGTTTTATTCCAACAGTCTTACGAGAATAGGTTTTCTGTGTCATGAAAGGAATGTCCATCAAAGAAAATAATTCTTCGGTTTGACTTTTTCCAATGCCAATTGACAAATTAGCCCAAACAACAGATTGTGTTAAAGTTATTTCTTGATTTTTCTCGTCAGGATCTGTACAAATTATGAAAGTTTTTTCACAATTATCACAATAAAAGTGAAGTCTAGAATCCAAACCAATTTTGGTTTCCTTCACAAAAGCCATCTTTCCCATAGTGCATCGACTCGGATGTTTGACTATGTATTCATATTCTTGGAGTACGTGACCTAAATTTACGATTCGACGCGCTTGTAATAATTGCTTGATTGATTTGTACGTCGGATCAACTTCTCTTTCCAATTCTGGTAAGATTTCAGGAGAAGGAATGCGTAAATTTTCGGTTGGTTCTGTCGAGGCTTTCCCTGCCCACCTACATAAATTTATCACAAATAATGATGTATCTTTGTTATTTTCATTTATCATCAATACTAAACATTAAGAAATAACTTGCCTCAATTGATTTAGTCTTCGCATTGCTACTGATCTAGCCGATATCTTCAACACTTTTGATGCACACTTTTTTGACTTAGCCATCTCGGAAAAAATGTGTGAATAAAGTTTCACAAACTCACAAAATGTCACTCTTTCGAAAGTTTGCGAAGTACTGCCGACTGACTAGCTCTCCCGTCGGGTGCGGGTGGTCTCTGGGTAGTTGTGGGCGGGGCTTGATGAGGGGCGGAACGGTTAACTTAATTTCGTTCAAAACTTATTAATTAATGCGTATAATCAATTTTTAGGGAGTTTACTACGAAATAGACCCATTACTCAACTACAACTCTACGTGGCTTAAATATACAACCCCGACATCACAAACTTCTTGAATCGTTGGCCGACACCCGCCCTCTCGAGGGCCCTCGACACCGAGTGCTGTGAAACGGTGCCGAAGGGGTGAGGGTCTCCCGACAGCGCTTGATTGCGGCCTGAAGCGACAGGCCGTTCGCCGGTACACCATCCATCTTCTGGAACCCCCTTTGTTGACCGGCGATTCGGACCTCGCCCAAGCGCCAATCCAGCAGCTTGTGAACGACCCTCAATGCAATGCATGAAATAGTGATAGGTCGCCAATTTTCTACTACTGTTGGATTCCCCCCCTTCGGAATCAAAATTGTTCGGCCCCCGCATATTGCCTTGGGGACGATGCCCCGCAACAACATGCAGTTATATAGCACAGCGAGCTTTAATGTTGGTACCCGACGGAACACTGAAGGTTTGATACCGTCGGGCCCGGCCGCGTTAGAATTGCCGGCCACTATCGCCTTGGCGATATCTGCCTCCAAAATTGGGGCAGATAGTAAGTTACTGTGGTTTAGCTCGCTGTCCTCGAACAACTCGTCATCCGCCGGAGAGGGTTCCGCGAATAGTCCACGGTATCGCTCCTCCACCAAGCGCACGGACGGGTAGGAGCTAGGCCGATCGCGAGGTAATCCGTCAAGGATATTAGATACGGTCTTCGAACGGTCGACTTTGTATACCTTCTGGGTGGATTTATACACCTCATGCCGCCGAACACCACTATTTCTATAAGGGCTGTGTGCCCGGGGCTTCTTTTCCACCCGACCAGCGGGTCTGGCCTCATTACCCTCTCCTATCTGGGGGGGCAAAGTTTGTTATAATAAGAGGCAAGCCTCGCCGTCAGATTTTCTTCCCGATGGTCATTATCAAGGCTGGCATTGATTATAAGCCTGCCGCCGTCGTCCAACCGCTCGTCATCTAATAACCTCTCTAAAAACTCCTCAATCGACCCAGCTCCAATCCCCCGTATGATTGGTGCAGGTTGCGATATCGGCTGGCTGGATCATGTTCACGTCTGCCGGATCGTCGCTCGAGGAGGTGCCGGATCGCCGGCGTCCTCCAGGAGCTCCTTCTGGAGTCCCCCTCCCCACGGCTCCCATCCACGGAGGTGCCGGAATATCGGTCCTCCAAGGATGGTCGTCGCACCCGCATCTGGGCCACTCGAGTCACCACTAGACACGCCACCCCACGCCCCTTCCGGCACCCGTCTTACTCTCAGTCCAGGCCTCCTCCCAGGCTCGAGTCGTTCCACTACCGCTTCCTGCGCATGAGGCACTGCCTCGATCTTAAGTCTTTCGACCAGGGCCTGATAGTCTGCATTCCGCAGCCGAATGTTTTTTATATTGTTTAGCGACCTATGCGGGAAGATTTCAAGCAAGTGCTTGTTTATAAATCTCCCCGCAAAGGCCGCCTCAGCCCTGGCCATTTCCATGATCTCCGGTGATAGAACGATCCGCTCCCGGGGTTCACCCCTTTCGTCCAGCTCGACGGGATTGACCGGCATATAGCGGTCCACCAGCTCCTGGTTGAACTCCTGAGAGTGTGCAGTGCGCATATGCTGGCGAACTCCCGCATATGACGCGAACACCCTCTTGCAAAGCCCGCATTGACTACCTTGTGGTGCTTCGCCGTTCACCCCTGGAGCTGGGCGTCCCCTACAGCGGCCCCTTCTGAGATGTGTGGCGACGCATCCTTCATCCCGAAACTCCTTCCCGCAGCCCTGGCATTCCACCATGTCGCACGCCCACAGAAGCCTTGCTCCGCCACTCACTAACACCGGTCTTACCCCTGAATCCCCCTGACACTCCTCCCTGAATCCTGTGGCTCCCCTTACGCCCCTGATCCCCTGACTCCCCTGCTTCCCCTTTCCCCTGACTTACCCTGATCCTCCCCTGATCCCCTGAATCCCCTGACTCCCCTGAAACCAGCATCCAACACTTCCCGTTCACCCACAGTCTTCACCTGCGCACCGCGATCAGGCTCCCTAAGACTTTAGAAAATGTAAAAGATCTGAAGCCCCTAAGATAAATTGTCCCTTATAGAAGCCCTCAGTACCACCTTGGAGG